GTCTTCCAAAAGTCTTGGTCATCATATCACTTGCCCACTTCTTTCGTCTGACTATGTTGGCAGGTCTTAATAAGGGCTTCCGTCTAGCTGCTCTGCAACGATAACCCAATCTGTGGAGAATCCGTTGAACAGATTTCGGGCTTATCCCACCAACTTTGGCCACTTCTGCAGTCGTTAATCTGGGATCCATTTCGATGCTCCTTTTAACAGACCTTTTTGTCCTCTCCGATGGACCAGGACGACCCGGACGCTGCTCAGTTGTTTCCTGAACTGCACGATGATTCTGTTGACTGTCGAAAGCGGGATTTCCAAATTCTGCGAAATTTGCCGCTGACTTATTCCACCATCTGCTTGACCAACTATCTTTCCTCTAAAAAAATCTGACAATTCGAGAGAACCTTGAGTTCTAGTCATGTTGTAGAACAAGATAATTAGTGTGCGGACCATTTTCATTTATGTAGTGCTCGTGAACATAAATCAGTTAAATGACGAAAAATTAGGTGTCTATTTGCTTGTGACCACTCAGTGTATATATGTCAATATGTTTCGCAGTAACTAAGAGATTTTAACTACTTCCCTTGACAAAGAACAATAGGTGGCGTTACATGCCATTCTTATGACATCTTCGGCGAGACTCTAACGCGCTGAATTTAATTATGAAATCGAATTTACATAATTTTTCCATTCTAAAATATTATATTATAGTGGTGATCGACGACACTGTTTAACTGAGGAAAACAGATTTTAAGTGGTAAACAAGTCATGTTGTGGTGTAAACAAATTTGAAGATAATGGTATAACTATTTTGGCATTATGCCTCTCAAGCACATGAAATTAACGTATTTTTTAATAATGTTTTATCGATATATGTTTAAAGTATTCCCGCCTTGCAGGATTAGGAGGCTTCTGTAAACACACTGTGTTTTTTAACATTCTTCTGCACAGTATGCCGTTACATAATACATATATTTTTATACTTCAAATTAACACCAAGATATTTGTGTTTAAAATTATTTTTATTTCATCAGCTTTTTTTTTTCAACCTACAGGTTATAATCAATTATTCTATATTTTACATTGTATATTTGATTTTCGAGGAATATGTATACATTTTTAATATGTCCCATAAATGTATGCTTTGCGTATTGAAAAAAGTTTTCGTGTTTTAGTTTAACTGTAGTGATGGCTTGGGCGGAATAACGGCAACATTTTGATTTCCGTGATATCGCACATAAAGGCCTAGCTCTTCTTAATAACGTGTGTTTAGTGGCCCAAGTTTATATCTGTTTTATAAGTTAGAGAGGCCACGACCGAGTACTTACTTTACTTCGGTTTCATTAAGATTTTTATGATGTAAAATTGAAGCATTTTTGTATACAAATTCCACACCTAAAAATAGTGCAACGAGTTTAGAAAGAAAATTAGAACTTGGCACTTGTGACCTTCGAAGTTTCTTACCACCATTAGTCTCATAGAACGTAGCTAGAACCAACCTTGAGGAACTTTTATCCCTGGGACGCTTCCCTAGACCAAATTAAATAGATTAATAAAAGTACAGATATAACGGACTAAAACAAAACGCCACTATAACCATGGTCGAACAACAAAAACAAGCAATTTATTCAAATGTAACGACAACAGAAATCCAAAATAAAACTTTCAAACAAGTGAAATACAAATGTTATCACTTACAAAAAAAACAAAACAACAACAATAAACAATTAGTAAACTTATGCCTGGTCAGGACTTGATACAAATGTTAATAAACAATACAACACAAAAATTAATGTTATTAATTTCAATAAATAAAGGAATTACGAAAAAGAACCAGAAGAAAAAAATCTAATTAAACCACTTCTCAAGATCAATAACTATATTGAGCAACAATTAGCAATAATTAGTTTTAACTATATCCTGTGAATTAACTCGTTTCAGTCGAAGTAAAAGTTCATATTTAGTGATTAAACCACGAGGTTACATTTCATGTGACAGCAATGCTGTATATCATAAATTTTTGCGTCTTTTGTCTTTGTATGTACTGATTTTGTGTCTAAACCTTGTTTGCTTAGATGCATATCAAAACTGGAGAACACAGACCAATGTTCTATTGAAACAAATAGTATTGTTACGACAGCGGAAGTCACGTGACGCTAGTAACACGTCATGATA